GAGAGAGAGAGTGAAAGAGAAAGAGAGAGATAGAGAGACAGACAGAGAGAGAGAGTGAGTGAAAGAGAGAGAGAGAGAGAGTGAGTGAAAGAGAGAGAGAGTGAGTGAAAGAGAGAGAGAGTGAGTGAAAGAGAGAGAGAGTGAAAGAGAAAGAGAGAGATAGAGAGACAGACAGAGAGAGAGAGTGAAAGAGAAAGAGAGAGATAGAGAGACAGACAGAGAGAGAGAGTGAGTGAAAGAGAGAGAGAGTGAGTGAAAGAGAGAGAGAGTGAGTGAAAGAGAGAGAGAGTGAGTGAAAGAGAGAGAGAGTGAGTGAAAGAGAGAGAGAGTGAGTGAAAGAGAGAGAGAGTGAGTGAAAGAGAGAGAGAGTGAGTGAAAGAGAGAGAGAGTGAGTGAAAGAGAGAGAGAGAGTGAGTGAAAGAGAGAGAGAGTGAGTGAAAGAGAGAGAGAGTGAGTGAAAGAGAGAGAGAGTGAGTGAAAGAGAGAGAGAGAGAGAGTGAGTGAAAGAGAGAGAGAGTGAGTGAAAGAGAGAGAGAGTGAGTGAAAGAGAGAGAGAGAGTGAGTGAAAGAGAGAGAGAGTGAGTGAAAGAGAGAGAGAGTGAGTGAAAGAGAGAGAGAGAGTGAGTGAAAGAGAGAGAGAGTGAGTGAAAGAGAGAGAGAGTGAGTGAAAGAGAGAGAGAGAGTGAGTGAAAGAGAGAGAGAGTGAGTGAAAGAGAGAGAGAGTGAGTGAAAGAGAGAGAGAGTGAGTGAAAGAGAGAGAGAGTGAGTGAAAGAGAGAGAGAGTGAGTGAAAGAGAGAGAGAGTGAGTGAAAGAGAGAGAGAGTGAGTGAAAGAGAGAGAGAGTGAGTGAAAGAGAGAGAGAGTGAGTGAAAGAGAGAGAGAGAGTGAGTGAAAGAGAGAGAGAGTGAGTGAAAGAGAGAGAGAGTGAGTGAAAGAGAGAGAGAGAGAGAGTGAGTGAAAGAGAGAGAGAGTGAGTGAAAGAGAGAGAGAGTGAGTGAAAGAGAGAGAGAGTGAAAGAGAAAGAGAGAGAGAGTGAAAGAGAAAGAGAGAGATAGAGAGACAGACAGAGAGAGAGAGTGAAAGAAAAAGAGAGAGAGAGAGTGAGTGAAAGAGAGAGAGAGAGTGAAAGAAAAAGAGAGAGAGAAAGAAAAGAGAGAAGAGAGAGAGAGGGGGGGGGAGAGTGAAAGAGAAAGAGAGAGATAGAGAGACAGACAGAGAGAGAGAGTGAAAGAGAAAGAGAGAGATAGAGAGACAGACAGAGAGAGAGAGTGAAAGAGAAAGAGAGAGATAGAGAGACAGACAGAGAGAGAGAGTGAGTGAAAGAGAGAGAGAGTGAGTGAAAGAGAGAGAGAGTGAGTGAAAGAGAGAGAGAGTGAGTGAAAGAGAGAGAGAGTGAAAGAGAAAGAGAAAGAGAGAGATAGAGAGACAGACAGAGAGAGAGAGTGAAAGAGAAAGAGAGGGAGAGAAAAAGAAAAGAGAGAAGAAAGAGAGGGAGAGAGAGAGAGAGAGAGAGAGTGAAAAAGAAAGAGAGAGAAAGAAAAGAAAAGAGAGAGAGAGTGAAAGAGAAAGAGAGAGAGAGAGAGAGAGAGAGAGAGAGAGTGAAAGAGGATGAGAGAGAGAGAAAGAAAAGAGAGAAGAGAGACAGAGAGAGTGAAAGAGAAAGAGAGAGAGAGAGAGAGAGAGAAATAACATCTAACGAATCCCAAGAAATCATCACAGGGTTACCTTTGTCTAAATAAGAAGCTCACGCAAGGCCAACAGATATCGCACCCTCCCCCCTCCCCACTCCCTCTCCCCCCCTCCCTCTTCCCCTCCTCCCCCCCTTTCTCATTCTCACATACCATCGCGTAGTGTTGTCCAGAACCTTCTTTGTAATCAGATGCCCCCGCCTTCTGCACCAGTCCCCCCCCTCCCCCTCCCCCCACTACCCTCTACCCCCATCTCCCCCCTCACCGGGCTCTCCCCAATCCTCTTCCTCCTCCAGTGGTCTCTCCTCACGCCCTCCCCCTATCTCTCCTACCTACCTTTTACCTCATTGGTTTCTCTCCCCACCTACCTCCTCGAGTGATTTCTCCCCCTCCCCCCTTTCGTTGGTTTCTTCCCCACCTACCTTCTCGAGTGGTCTCTCCCCCCCCCCTCTTTCGTTGGTTTCTTCCCCACCTACCTCCACGAGTGGTTTCTCCGCCCCCCCTTTTTGTTGGTTTCTTCCCCACCTACCCTCTCATTGGTTTCTCCTCAACCTATCTCCATATTCAGTGGTTTCTCCCCCTCCCCCTTTCGTTGGTTTCTCCTCAACCTATCTCCAAATCCAGTGGTTTCTCCCCCCCCCCCCATTTTCATTGATTTCTCCTCCATCTGCCTCATCCAATGGTTTCTCCTCCTCCCACTTTCATTGGTTTCTTCCCACCTACTTCCTCCTCCATTGGTCTTTCCTTCTCCCCTCTCCCCTCTTTCACTCCATTTTTCACCAACTACCTCCTTCTCCCCTGGACTCTCCCCACGTCCCCCCCTCCTCCTTCCCCCCCTACCTCCTTGGCTCCTAATTCTCCTTGCTCCCTCCTCTTAAGCTAGCCTCTTTCTTCCTCCTCCCCCCTCCCCATTTTCTTCCTCCCCCCCCCACTGGCTTCTCTCCTCCCCATATTCAATCACCCCCTCCCCATTAGCGTCTCCTCTCCCCTTTCCCATTACGCTCTCCCCTCTCCCCAATCCCTATTTGCCTGTACACCCCCCCCTTTTCCCTTCTCTCTCCTTCTCACCCCCCCCTCCTATTTCCTTGCCCATTATCTTCTCTTTTCTACCTCCTCTCCACTGCTTCCCCCCCGCCCCTACCCATTCTCTCGCCTCTCCCTCTCCCACCTCTCCCATTTGCCTCTCGATCATTCATACTGACCCCTCTCCCCTCCCCCGTCTCCCCAATAGCCTCTCCCTCTCTCCTCCTCTTCCTTCTCCCCTTTTTAGCGTCTCCTCTTTCCCTCTCCCCGTCTTTATTAACTTCTCTCCCTCCCTCATTAACTTTCCCACCCTCTCTATCTCTCTCTCTCTCCCTCCTCCCCCACCACCCTTTCCCCCTCTACCCCTTTCTCCTTCTCCCTCCCTCTTCCCCCTCCCCTCCCAGTAACTTCCCCACCCTCTCTCTCTTTCTCTTTCTATCTCCTTACTAGCGCCTTTCCCTCTCCTCATCCCCATTAACTCTTACGCCACCTCCCCTCCCCTCTTCCCCCTCTACCCCTATCTCCCTCCCCTACCCTCTCTACCCTTTTCGCCCTCTCCCCTTCCCCCTTCTACCCTCCCCTCCCCCTTCTACCCTCCCTTCCCCCTCCCCCTCCTACCCTCCCTTCCCCCTCCCCCTCCTACCCTCCCTTCCCCCTCCTCCCCCTCCTTCCCCTCCTCCTTCTACCCTCCCTTCCCCCTCCCCCACCCCCTCCTCCCCAGAACGATTAGGGCGAAGGGCGAGTGTTAGAGTTTGACCGCAATGCCAGTCAGTCAGGTTTCGGCCACGCGAGAGCACAGCCGCTGCATGTGGTTCGCTGTTGCTTCCGCTGAGGTAAGTTGCTCGACCGCTGACTGGGTTTGGGATTATCATTATTATCATTATTATTATTCATTTATTTATTATGATTGTTGTTGTTGTTGTTGTTATCATTATTATTTTTTTTATTATTATTATTATTATTATTATTATTATTATTATTATTACTATAATTATCAACATCATTATTGTTATCATTATTATTATTATTATTGCTATTATTATTATTGCTATTATTATTATTGTTATTATTATTATTATTATTATTATTATTATTATTATTATCATTATCACTAGTATTAGTATTTATTCAATTAGTATTATTATTTATTTTTTGTTTGTTCTTTTTTTCGGTTGGTTTGTTTCATATTGTAATTGTTTGTGATCTTTTGTTTTTTGTTTGTGACGTTGCTTTGTGATGTTTTTTTGTTTGTTTGCGTCATGTTTTAGCTGCCTGTTTTTTTTCTGTGTCGTGGCTAGCTGCTTGTAAGCTTTTTGTTGTTTGTTTCTTATGACTGATTTGTTAGTGGGGTTTATTTTCTTTGCTTGATTGTTTGTGACCCCTCCCCCCCCCCACCCGTTTGTTTCCTGTTGTGATTACCTGTTTGTGAGCTTTATTCGTTTTTTTGTCTCCCATATCATTTCTGACGTAATTGTTTGTGACATAAATACTATTAATGTCTGTTTTCGATGTTTGTGTTTGTTTGTGAGTTAAACGGCAGTGAATGCCTGACGTAATTGTATGTGACTAACCGTTTGTGAACTAACTGTTGTTACTAACTGTCTAAGTGAATTATTTGCAACTAATCGTTAGAAGATAAATAATTCTTGCTGTCTGCCAAACAAAACTGCAAGTGCTAAAAGAAATGCTGTTGCGCGGGGGGGGGGGGGGGGTTCTTCATGCAAATATCCTATCTGTTATTCGTTATTTACGTTCTCGTTACGATGCAGTCCGTGTGATTATTTATAACTGTTGTCCAAGATGCATTGGTATTGATTTGTGATTATAAATGATTGTTAATCGAACAAGTGCATATATTGAAAATAGTGAAAAAATAACTACGAGATAAGAAACTTGCAGGTAAAAGTATTACAGAGAAGGACGAGAGCCTTGCAGACGAATACAATGGACTTGCAGACAGAAGGCCTACAACTAAAGGCAAAAGACCTACAGCCAAAGACAAAGAACTTACAGACAAAGCAATTAGACACAAAGACAAAAAAATTACCAACAAACACAAGAAGCTTACAAACTTGCAGCAAGACACAAACCCCACGTATCCAAAGACGAGAGACTTACTTACACATTGAGAGAAAATACTTACCTCCACCCCCCCCCCCCGAAAAAAAAGACCTACATCCAAGCAAATAAGACTTACATTCTAAGACAAAAAAAAAACGATACCCAGAAACAATAGCTATACAAGACAAAAGACTTACACAAAATACTAAAAGCCACCTACGGACAGTGCTATATCTTCTCAGCTCTCTGAATAACACGTCAATGCATCAGGAACGAAAGGCGTTATACGAAGGCCGGAGAAAAATCACTGTGCTATATACTCGTTAAATTAAGCAAAGTAATGCATAGATTGTCTTCGTTATAAAAAGTCAGAATATTTACTTGCAAATGTTTTTAGTACATGGAACGGCTTAATCTAGTCATTTTGCCTTTATAGCTACATACATTGCTATGCATCTGTATATATGTATATATATATGTATATGTATATATATATATATATACATATATATGTGTGTGTGTGTGTGTGTAACTAAAGTGGCTATATTTCCATGAAGGAAGCAGAAGAATAGTAATAGCTTAACCGACGACAATCATCATCACTGGATCGACTCAAATTAAATTTTAGTCCATTTGATAAAGAAACACAACCAAACGTTTCGTGCGTACTTCCACCCATCATCAGTGCTCGACTAAAAAGAAATACGAATAATAAATCCCTCAAATATTGACAATCTTTATTTGAGATAGTAAACACATGTAGGTAATTATGATACAATCAATTAAATAACTAAGTGTCGTAAAATGTTAAAATGGTAAAATGTTAGAATAGTAAGTAACTGGAACATTAAAATTACAAGAGAATTATGTAGGTTATATTAGGCAAAAGGACATTAATGAGAGCAATATAAATACTATGTACGAGAGAAAACTTCAATTTGTACCATTTGTACAATTTGAGCATATATATGAATATATACATATATATAAGTAAATATATATACATATACATATATATATATATATATATATACACACACATACACACAAACACACATACGTTTATCTATCTATCTATCTATATATGTATATATATACATATATATACATAGATATATATATGTATGTATGTATATATACGTGTGTGTGTGTGTGTGTATGTTTATATATGTATTTATGTATATATGCATATATGTGCATATTTATCTATCTATATATATACAGATTATTTATCTATCCATTTATATCTTTGTATCTATTGCGTGTGTGTGGGTACACAAACACAAACCCTGTATATATATATGTGTGTGCGTGTGTGTGTGTGTGCGTGTGTGTGTGTGTGCGTGCGTGTGTGTGTATGTGTGTGTATGTATGAATATATATATATCATATACACACACATACACACAGACACAGACACACACACACACACATACATATATATATATATATATATATATATATATATATATATATATATATATATATATATATATATGTGTGTGTGTGTGTGTTCATTCATATATATATATACATACGTACATATACATATCTATATCTATACCTTTATATATATATATATATATATATATATATATATATATATATATATATATATACATATATATATATATATATATATATATATATATATATATATATATATATTTATATAAATAATACTGATAGATAGTGACAATAATAATTTGGTTCAAGAGTTATTCCACCAATCGCCCTTCTATAATTATCAAGATAATTGCATATTTACTATTCCGAAGAATTAAAAATATTTTCAGATTGTATAATCTTAGAACAATCAAAGCGAACAAACAATCAATAAATAATTTTGTTTAATATGATTTCACTTCAACCTTTCCCTGAATTGGCATAGTGATGATAGTGACAGTGAGTTGGCGATAGTGAGGTGTTGGGGTGAGGGATGGGAGAGGAGAGTGTGTGGGGGGGGGGGGGATGTGTGTGTGTGTGGAGGGGTGTTTGTATAGGGGGGAGTGGGTGTGGGTGTGTATGTGTGTGTGCGGGGAGGGGGGTTGTGTGTGTGTGTGTGTCTGTGTCTGTGTAAAGTCCTTGCGTGTCTATGCATGTGTGCGTGTGTTTGAGTGTACGCATGGACGTGTGTTACTGTATTTACTTACATAAATTCTCATTTACACGCATACACCATATCCATACTCATTTGATATTTTCAAAACATTTCTATACAGCAAAGAATAACTAAGACTCACAATCACCAGCATTATAATCACTTTATGAAAAAAAAAAAAACAGAAGAAACTATTACACTGGAGATTATGACCGAGTTATGTCACGGTGAAGCAAACTTTACATATACGCCGTTTTCGTGTTGAATCCTCATTAATTTTGTCTGTGAAGAAAAGATATTACCACATTAGGAATCATCTTTAAATATCTCTGGAACGAATTTTGATGATTAACCTACACGCAATATATATTTTTTTTTCATCGTGTACACACACATACGTACACATATTCACAAATACATGCATACATACGCACAGACGTCGTGATAGTAATGATAATTTTGTCTTCTCTATCATCTCGTATAAATATAACTACACACACACACACACACACACACACACACACACACACACACGCACGCACGTACACACGCATATGCACATGTGTATATTCATATGTGCAGGTAAGATATATGTATATATATATTTGTTTATATTTCGATCGGTCTGTTTGTGTATGCACACACACACGCACAGACGCACGCTGTGTTTACGTGTGACTGTATGCCTATCATCAGGAATCATTGCTTATATTTGCCTGTTTGCCTTGTGTGCTCGGATAAACACGCTGGAATTTCTTTGTAAATAGGAAACTGTTCTTGGTCTGAAATCATGCATTGCATATAAGGTTCATGTGCGTATATACAATAATACATACATTTACAAAAACATTTATACATACATACAAATGTGTGTGTGTGTGTGTGTGAGTGTGTGTGTGTGTGTCTGTGTGTGTTTGGGGGTGTATACTTTTCTAAGATATGAATTGAGAGAGAGAGAGAAAGAGACAGAGAGAGAGAGAGAAAGAGAGGGGGGGAGAGGGAGAGAAAGAGAGAGAGAGAGAAAGAGAGAGAGAGAGAAAGAGAGGGAGGGAGAGGGAGAGAAAGAGAGAGAGAAAGAGAGAGAGAGAGAGAGAGAGAGAGAGAGAGAGAGAGAGAGAAGAGAGAGA